TTTGTCTCTTTGGTCATCTTTTCAAAGGGGACTGGTCCCTAGGGAAGGATATCATGCTGGGAGGAAGGTGAGTGAAAAAGAGGAAGACCCTCAAGGAGATGGATGCTCAGGTGGCTACAACAATGGGATCGAGCATGGCAACAATTATGAGGATGACGCAGACTATGTAGTGTTTTGTTATGTTGTACATGGGGTCATATGATTCAAAACCGACTTGACAGCAGGTAACAACTGAAAGATTGGCAGTTGGAACCCACTCAGTGGCACCATGAAACAAAAGCCTAGCAATATGCTTCCATAAAGATGACAGCCAAGAAAATCCTATGGAGTTCAGTTGTACTCTGTCATACATGCGGTCGCCGGGAGTTGGAATCCACTTGTGGCAATATTTTTCTTCAGCATTATCCCCAGACCCAGACATCCCTGAGCCACTGCATTCATCAACCCTCCATTCTGCTACCTCCACACTGCTCATGTGCTGTAACATAGCACTCACTGCCTAACTCACTTTGGTTCCTCTGTCACTTGTAGCAGAAAATATTCTGTCCGACACATCTAAGATATATCTAACAATGCATATACTGCCCTTCCACCTGCCCCTGGCCTATTTTAATTCCAAGAGAGCAAGAATTCTGTTGAGTTCACCAGCATTTGGCAGTGTGTGGCACTTCGGAGTTGCTCAACAATTATTTGTTGAATGGTGAATGAACTCTGAAACTCTGAGCTTTGAAACTGGGGGAAAAAATGGTACTTTACTCTGTACATCTATTTACAAATAAACTTTAAGAAGCTAATTAATCAAAACTCTAATAATTAAGCTACATTAGTCTAAGCCAAGTACCAAACCAAAAAAGAAAAACCAAACCCACTGCCATCCAGTCAATTCTGACTCATAGCAACCCCCACTGGTTTTCCAAGGCTATAAACCTTTATATGTAGACTGCCCCATCTTCCCTCCATGGAGTGGCTGGTGGGTTTGAACTGCCAACCTTCCAGTAGAAGTCAAATGCCTTAGGCACTTTACCACCACAGCTCCTTAAGCCAAGTACCAGCAACTGTGTAACAGAAAATGCCTCAGAAATTTGAGACTTTCATTATAACAACTTTTGTAAGTTAAAGAATTTTGGTGACAGAGAACACAGCATATATTTTATTTGTAAGTTTTAAAATTAATTTTTAATATTTAACTGATAGCATCCGTTATAGTGTTTTCAATGTACCATAATTCAAAATAAACCCAGACAAAAATAACAATTTACAGTTCATATTATTCCTAACTTAGACTTGGTCTATTCCAAATTAAGTATTTACCATACCATGATTTCTTCAGTGTCAAAATATTTACTTCTTCAAGTTACATCTTTCTAATGCTCTTTAAAATTTGTCATGGCACAAAATTCTAAAAGTTTAGTATTTTGCTTTGAAAAAAAATGTTTAAATATAGTCATCTTAGACAGAAAACTAAATAAATACATCAAATTTAGTACTCCATTGACTACTTCAAAGTAGATGGATGCACATACTCACACATGCCAATGACACAAAATAGGATGACTCACACAATCAATATAGTGTATTTCTTATTAATTTGTGTTTTTTGTATCCTGTACCATAGTGCCTAATGCATATGACTGCTAACCAGAAGGCTGATGGTTCAAACCCACCAACCACCCACTCCTTGGAAGGAAGACTGGGCAATCTACTTCCATAGAGATACTGCCTCAGAAAACCAAGGAGGGGTCGCTATGAATCAAATCCGACTCAATGGCAGTGAGTTTGGTTTTTTGGGGTTTTTTTGTATCATAGATATTGCAGATTAAAGATTCTATTTAAAATAGACATTCTCTGGGAGTTGCTCCATGGGAATTCCAGAGGGAAGTTGTAATGTTTATATACTTTGGAATCTGTATCCACAAGTAATTGAACTCAGCATAAAATCCAAAATAAGTCTTTCAAGCAATAAAAAGTTTTCCAGTATTATCCCAAAGGGAAATTGATTTCTAGTTGTTTTTATTCCAAGTATATATTGCAAAGAATTTCTCATTAAAATAGCTTTACATAAAATTATATGTAAGTCATAACCTGGTATCTCCTGTTTATAGCTTTACATCAGTCAAACTTTATTTCCTTATTAAGAAGGAAGGCTCTTCTGAGGTATTTTAAGTGTCATTTTCTGGACCTTTGTGGAAATTTTAACAGCCAAATTGTATCTAACATAACGACAGAGCCTATAGTACTCTTATTTGATTTTTTTTTTAAAAAAAAAAGCAGGGATCTAAAACAACTTGGTATCATTAGTTTAATCATCCATAAGCACTGTTACTCTTTCACAAAAGGCTTTGATGGTTTACCACTGAAAACATACTAAATCTCCTTAACGTGCCGTTGCCATTCCTTCAAAATATCCTTCTCACTTGACTCTTCTGTTGTGTGCACTGCAGTAAAAACTCTAGCCCAGGCAATCTGGCCTTCCAATTCTCCAAACACATTTCCTCCTTTCCTGGCTCCTATTTATACTGTTTCCTTTTACCAGAATGATAAACTTTCCTTCCATCCCTCCAAGGTCTACCTGGCACACTAAGAAATGGCACTAACAAATGAGTGCTGATTACCTCTATCATGCAATAAGCATTACATTTTTAAAAACTGGGATGTGAAACACTGAACTTATGAGAAAACATTCAATTTATTTGCAGTCAATATTCAGTTAAATCTGCATGTTAAAAATAAGATGACTTTAGATTAAATCTCCTCATTCTGAAAAGTAAAAGCGACCCTCAAAGTCAAAGCTGTCCTATAAAGTACCAAAAAGAAAAGAAAAGAAAATCCAAACACATATACATGCTGTATGTGCTTAAACGATCATTTTGGACTTAACATCAACCTAAAAAATTTCCAGTTAAATGTCTGAAAACAAAAAATGGTAATTTCATTAGAAAGGTTTGAAAAACAATTTATGCTTTTAAAACCCCTTTTTAATTCTTAATATACAAGTAGGTTATGTGTCATTTAATGTCTATGATACATGAAAGAGACAGTGTAATTCGGACATTGTGGGAACACTGTATTATATACTCTGTGAACAGAATGCCTACATCGTGAGCATAGCTTTCACTGATTTTCCACCTTCCCTGAATTGAACTCAATGGCAGTGGATTTTAGGTTTTGTTGTTTAATAACCTTTGTTTCATTTCCTAATTGCTACTTATTCTTTGCCTCTTGCTGCTATTACCAGCATTGGTTATGTTGAAGTTGGGAGCTATGATGCATTTATTTTTAAAAGAAAATTAAACACAGAGAAAATACTACAACACTTCAAGAGATGTAAAATACATGAGATTGGATGCTGCTGCCTACAAGTTGAAGCATACCCTGCTATCAGGGAAACTTTATTTGTTAAAGTAGGGAAAAGTTCACATTAAAATTACAATAGGACAGTGCAGTACATACATAAGACAATAACACAGGCATTTATTATGGCCACTAAGACATATCTATTATAGGTTATATATGTACTGTACCATTATACACCAGGCAGCACAATCGCTTTGTACATGAGGGACGTAAGATACACGTACTGTGTGCAGGAAGCTGTTGCGTTCACTACACTCAATTACATCTACGACACCTCATTCTCTGATTGGGATTTCAGAATTATGGGACCACAGACGTATACACAGTCAGTCAGACGTTGCCTTAACGGATGTTATATGGCATGGCTGTATTTGATGGTTTCAGAAATCAATCAATTAGTACAGTTACATGGCCACAGAATTCAATTCTATTAGTGAGTTTCTCAAAACATCCCAAGCAGAGATGTGAAATTTATATAGTTTCTAACCTAAAATCTGGATGGCAGACTATTTCTAATACCACTATAAAATCTAAATCTGAAAGAATTTTGAGTAGTAAGAACAATAATTATACCACAAAAAATGAAAAGTAGTAACTAAAGAGAAGTAACACACTATGTGGCAGGCCCTTGACCTACCATTTTACTATGTACTTCACTTAATCTTCACAATAATCTGGTAAGTAATCTGGTAAGTAGGCACTATTATTATCCCCATTTCACAGAGAAAACAACTGGGGCCTAGAGAGACTGAGTAACTTCCCATAGAGCTAGTAAGGCTCAAGTGCGTGTTTCCAAAAAAAAAAATCCAAACTCACTGCTGTCAGGTCAGATCCAACTCATAGCAATCCCTCCTTGGGTTTCCAAGGCGGTATCACTACAGAAGTAGACTGCCTAATCTTCCTTCTGATGTGTTTCCAAACACTATGCTATACTGCTTGTTAAACTGAAAGTTATTCCACAGGGAATGTAATACAAATTACAATTCAACACTTAATCTATTTCCTATGGGAGAGAGAAGTTCTCAAAAGAGTAGTAAAGAAATACTGGGAATATCACACTATAATAGAATTAAACAAGGTTTTATTTTTTAAAAGGAGCTAAATGTTTAAAAATACAAAGTAGCAAAGCTTTCATACATTTGAGTTAAAATACCTGGAGTGTAGTAACTGAAAGTCTGCACTTATTTTAAAAAGACAAACATTTATGGAAATCAGTACCAACCTATTTTAATTTATAAATGAATAGTAGTATCTTGCTTGAAGAATACAATATGCATTTTAAATTACCAATAAATTTTTAAGTTTTATTATATTCATTGCCTCCATACAAGCAAACTTTTTAAATAATTTCCAACCAGGATGCTGAGGTGAGTATCAACAATAGTTTGATTATAAAACTGATTTTTACCATTCATTTTGTATAGTTATTTATTTACTAAGAGTCCATTCCAATCTTCTCTCATCCCTGCCTTGTGGTTGAAGTTCTCATGAAGTTCCTGACTTGGGTATCAAATTTATCACGAACACCAAAAGAGAAACGTCCCTCAGAACTCCAAGCAAGAGTGGGCCAATGAGGATACCATGGAAAATGTGATCAGATGAAAGTTGAGATGGATGAAAGTTTCATACCACTTTGTCCAGGTGGTCTGAAGATTTTATATGGTAAAAACCAGTTCTTAAAGCAAAGGAGCAGCCATTATGCTTGAGTACTAACCCTTCTTTTCCCATTGGTGTTTATGGAATTTTCTACATTGTTACTTTTTATAGATTCTAACAAGTTTTTAACTCTTTCACTTGCAAGCTTTTTCCTCTTGGCAAGAGACTTGCCATTTGATACAGATGGCAGCAACAGAGCTGCCAGCCCCCAGGGCTGATTACTTGATGGTGAAGGATGATCTTTATCTTCCTGTTGTAAAATCCAGGCACTTTCTCTGGCCAGATCTACAAATTTTTGCAGCTGGCTTTGATTTACATTTTTGCTGATGTTGAGAGAAGTTTCAAAAGGATTTTGAATGTGCAGAGGAGAAGATTCAGGTTTGTTTTGTTCTCTTCCCTACAGTTCATTACAAAGAAGAAAAAAAAATGTGTGAAAATATATGAAAGGCTCAAATTTAAGAACAATTTGGTTAAGTCACTGACTTGTTAAAAACATTTAAAATATCAGCATTAACATTACATGGTAAAGAATTTCTTTCCTAAGGGGACAGGTAGACTTGTGTGTTCTGTGTGTATATACTTCTATTTTTTTTGAGAAAAATAAATTAGGTTTATGAATTATGGATGGTGATGTCACTGCTCAGATGAAAAGTGTCTGAACTAAATCAACCAATAAAAGCATTTTTTAATAACATTAACACTTTTTTACCTAACAGGATAGAGCTAGAAAGGAAAAAAGAAAAGAATATGAAGATGTATTTATTTTTGAGCCTTGCTAAAAATATACTTATTAACTGAAAGCCAGTTGGAAGAGAAGCACACAAAATTAGAATCGTTAAATACAGTAATTTATGTTTCCCAACTATGAAATGAGAATGGAAGAGAAGGACCAAAAAGTTATTCATTATTCATTTTAAAACACTAAAAATTTTCTATTGCCTCGCTAAAGATGAAACAATAAGGCTCTGCCAGGTAAGACAAATACCTCATAGAAATGAAATGAAAAGCTAAAGCTATGAGTCATATGAACAGCAGAGATCCATCTGCCTATATAACCTTTTCTTCTGTCAAATAATATTACATGTATTACATATTATGAAGTCAATGGTCATGATCTCCCAACATAAGCAGCACCTGCTTCTTCCCTAACTTCTTTCATGGCCCTACTTAGCAGGGGTCCAGTCTGTCTTCTGTGACCCCTAGGGCAATAGTACAAAAAAAGATAAAGAACTCTGTATGTTTGGTGACCTTTTTCTTCCGGATTGCATTTCAGAGCTTTCTGTGCCCCTCTCCCTGAACTCTCCTGTTTCAACAAAGTCTCCGTGGGCAGGATAAGGGTTAGGGAAGAATGAACAAAGGAAAAGTGGGGGAAAAAAAGAATAAAACTGAATTTCTGGGTATGTGTTTTATGAAGCCAGTTCATAAAGTTTAAAATCAAACAACCAAACAATAAACAGAATGAAACCAAGCACAGTGCCATCACAAGGATCCCCACTTATAAACAAGAGCTGCCTAGGGTTCTGCTCTTGTTCTTTTTTAGAAAACTGCTTATCATTCCAGCTATTCAAATGAACCAAAATCATAAATTCCATTCCTGTAAATAAGTGAAATCCTAAGGGCTTAAAATGAGGGAATTATGAAAATCTATGTTTGAGACTCTGTATCCAATTTCTTCCACAAGGACACAAACGTAGTTTAAAAACAACGATATGTAATGATGATGCATTTGAATTGTGGTGCTGGCCAAAAACATTGAATGTACCATGGACTGCTAGGAGAACAAACACGTCTGTCTTGAAGGAAGTACAGCTGGAATGGACTTAGAAGTGAAAACGGCTAAGACTTCAACACATCTCTCCTGTGGTCATGTTGCCAGAAGCAACCAGTATCCGGAGAAGGATATCAAACTTGGTAAAGTAGAGGGTCAGTGAAAAAGTGTAAGACCCTCAATGACATGGACTGACACAGTGGCTGCAAAGATGGGGTCAAGCATGGTGATGACTGTGAGGATGGTGAAGGACCAAGCAGTGCTTCATTCTATTATTATAGACAGGGTTGCTACAAGTTGGAATCAACTTGACAGTGCCTAAAAACAACAACATATATAAAATGCTTTCCAGAAAATTTTTCAGAATATAGTCCACATATATTCTGGATAGGGTATGAGCACTTAAAAGTATCATGACACACTGAAAAAGACTTATGAAAAGGTTGAAAGACCTGGCTTTTGCTCTTCAAAAAAACTAGATGACTAATCTTATGCAAGTGATGTAGCTCCTATAGGTATCCTTTTCCTTATTAATATCTATTCCTGCAGTTTACATGAAACAGCATTTGTTAGTGTGGTTTGAAATTAAGCTAATAAAGTATAACCACAGTAGAAGACCAGATACCTAATAATAACCAAACCTTAAAAGATATATTCTTACCTGTCTAATGTTTATGGAATTTTTATTGAAGGCAAAATTTCCAAAATATTCAAAAAATTCCTTCAGCAGTAATTCTGCAAAGAAATAAAACAAGGAAAATAAGAGGAAATTCCATTTCAATCCAAAAAAGACAAGAAGAGAAAAATCACTTACCTAGTGTTTCTGTGTTTCCTGAAGATTCAATCCTATTCAAATCAGTAGTAAATGTACAGTTGTGGCCTTCTATTATACATTTATCTTCTGTATCTTAAATAAACAGAAATGGAAAATATTTCACAGTACATTTTAAGGATACTCCCTATTTCAGAAAAGGAATCTAGGATTTAAAGCAACTGATGTTACAGATTAATGTTTATTATTAGTATTCTACATATTTACAGTAAGCAAGATTTAATTAAAAGGAAGAGAGGACTGGCAATCTACTTCCAAAATTCCACCAATGAAAACCCTGATCACAACTGTCTGATCCAGTTGTGCATGGCATCTCCAGGAGTCGGGGGCCAACCCCCCAGCAGCTAACAACAACAGTAGGGTATAAAAACCTCCTTAAAAAAAGAAAATGGGAGACTAGTAAGAACATAGTCAAATCAACTTTAAACATACTAGCATCGTGGTCTATCAACAGCCCAAAGATACCTGTCTTTAGACACAATCAGTTCTCTGATTATAAATGAAAATGCACACAAATTCCATTTCTCACCAACACAAGTTCTGGTACAATCTTTAATCAGTAATGCTTAATCTAGATCTGCCTGTCCACTCTTACCATTTCTTCATGCATTTATTCAACCATTCATCCAACACAAAGTGAATGCCCTAAGAAGTTCAAGAAACTTGAGGTACTTTCTAAAATGTAGTACCCTAGGATGACTGGGGAGTTCCTGGGTGGCACCAACAATTAAGTCTTTGACTGCTAATTGAAAAGTTGGTGATTCAAACCCACCCAGAGGTGCCTCAGAAGAAACGTTTGGCAATCTGCTCTCAAAAGGTCACAACCACTGAAAACCCTATGGAGCACTTAGTCCTTCTCTGCACATATGGGGTTGCCATGAGTCAGAAGTGACGTGAAGACAACAGGTTTTTTTTGTTTTTTTTTTCAGTGACTGGAATTCAACACCACGAATTTAACCACACACTGGACTCAGGCAGTCACCTCTTCTCATATATCATTAGAGATAATCATTTTTCTAATTATTGATGAATACAGTTACTATGAAATACCTCACCCACTCTACCTCCCATTGTTGAGTATTGCGGAGAGAAAAATTCCACTCTTACTCCAAAAATCTGATTAAGAGCTATCCATATCTGCAAGTATCTCCTAACTCCAAGTTGGTGCTCTCTGCTTTTTGTACATCCTCCATGAGCACTTACCTCACTGTATTTTGGTGATATGCAAGCTGTCTACTCCCCTGCCCCAGTGTGGGACTACAAAGCCCATTAATACTGTTCCAACAGTCCAGCCTACAACCAGAGTGTCTAGCATATACTTAAAAAAAAAAAAAAAAAAGAACTAAACCTATTACTGTTAAGTCCATCCTGACTCACACATACCAACCAAAAACCAAACTCACTGCCGTCGAGTTGATTCCAACTCACAGTGTCCCCCTCTGGGTGCTTTCTGAGGTGCTAAATCTTTATGGAAGTATATTGCTCAGTCTTCCCTCCTTGAAGTGGCTGGTGGATCTGAACCATCAACCTTCTGGTTAGCAGTCAAATGCCTTAGGCACTACACCACCAGAGCTCCTTGACTCGCACATAGCAGGTATATAAATCAGTAATTTTCTGAATCATTACTGATATGATTACTGATGAATGCTGATCCTCATCAGCGGATAATTAGAATGAGGAAAAACAAGATCCCTTCAAACTTCTGACTCCCTCTTTTTATTGCTTTTGTTATTTTTTATTGACTTGGGTTATTGATAATTTCTCAAAAATTGGTCTAAGTTCTACCATTAATTTAGGTGCCACTGAGTTGGTTCCAACTCACAGTGACCCTCTGTACAACTGAATCAAACACTGCCATTATCCTGAGCCATCCTCACAACTGTTGCTATGTTTGAGGCCACTGTTGTAGCTATTGTGTCAATCCATCTCATCCAGGGTCTTCCTCTTTCAATGACCCGCTACTTTACATCAAGCATGATGTCCTTCTCCAGGGAATGGTCCCTCCCGATAACATGTCCAAAGTACATGAGACAAAGCCTTACCATTGTTTCCAAGGAGCATACTGGTTCTACTTCTTCCAAGACATGAGTTTAATCTTCTGGTCGCCCATGGTACATTCAATATTCTTCACCAACACTATAATTCAAAGAAATCAATTCTTCTTTGGTCTTTCTTACTCATTGTCCAGCTCTTCCATATATATGAGCTAACTGAGAATACCATGGCTTGGGTCAGGCGCATCTTAGTTTTCCAAGTGACATCTTTGCTTCTGAACACTTTAAAGAGGTCTTTTGCAGAAGATTTGTCCAGTGCAATACAACATCTGATTTCCTGACTTCTGCTTCCATGGGTGTTGGTTGTGAATCCAAGCAAAACAAAATCCTTGACAACTTCAATCTTTTCTCTGTTTATCGTGCTGTTTATCAGTCCAGTTGTGAGGATTTTAGTTTGCTTTATGTTGAGGTGCAATTCATACTAAAGGCTGTAATCTTTGACTTTTCATCAATAAGTGCTTCAAGTCCTTTTCACTTTCAGCAAGCAAGGTTGTGTCATCTGTTTATTACAGGCTGTTTATGAGTCTTCCTGCAATCCTAATGCTGCATTCTACTTTGTGTAGTCCAGCTTCTTACGATCATCTGCTTAGCATGCAAGGTTTACATGCTCTACTATACAGCTTATAGTATACTAAAGAAATTATCTATGACTCACTTTGATTTATTTTTATGGGACCTGGGCATATGTGTCACTACTTCAAATGATTAACTGGTGACATTCTTTGTTGACAGTGCTAGTCACACATATGATCCCCTTTTAGCTGCTGCCATTTTTATCAGGGCTGTATCTTCAATCAAAGTATTACTACCACAGACAAGCTGCACAATGCAAAAGGAAGACAGAAGGATCAATGCATATGAACTGTGGTACTGGCAACAAATAATGGCTATACCATGGACTACCGGAAGAATGAACAAATCCGTTTTAGAAGTACAACTAGAATGCTACTTAGAAATGAGGATTGAGACTTAAATTCCCTTACTTTGGAGATGTTATCAGAAAGAAAAAGACATGGTCAGTTAAAGTAGAGGGTCAGGAAAACAAGGGAAACCCTCAGTGAGATAGATTGGCACAACAGCCAAAGCAATGGACTCAAACACCGTTAACAATCATGAAGATGGCACAGGACTGGTCAACATTTTGTTCTGTTATCCATAAGGTTACTATGAGTCAGAACCAACTTGACAGAACCTAGTATCACAGGAAAATGAGATCCACATTTAAATTATTTCTAGAAATGTACAGTATGAGAACCAAACAGTCTCTATGAGTGCTGCTCATTTAAAAATTCTTTTAAACAGAAAATAGTAAAACTTAGAAAAAATTATCCTTTAATTTAAGACAGTGCCATTTTTGATTTTTCAAAACCTTTAAGCCATTCAAGCCCAACAAAGCACCAGTGATCATGTCTCCCTCTCTTCTCTTCGTGGTTTTTCAACTGTAACGGTCTCTAAGGCAAAATCTACTTGGTCCAATACTATTAAAATTAAAAATTCAGTTCATCAGTCATACTAGCCATATTTCATGATTCTGATAGCAGTACGTAGCTAATTATTACCATATTGTACAGCACAGATATAAAATATTTCCATCATTGCAGAAAGTTCTGCCTTAGAAAAACAATTCTATACCTATTCGGACATAAGATACTCTGTCACTGTTTGCTTAATCCCACTGCACTGATGTTCTTCTTCAAACTGGTGCATGAAACATTGGCAACAATTCAGACATAAATACAAACTCCATCAGTTGTGAGAAAAATAGCCACGTAAGTACCTTCATTAAGTCATAACAGACACTTGATGACTGACTCTTCAGTAAGCATAAACAATTAAGGTTACACATTTATTAAATTTTGTTTGCATTTACTAAATTTGGTTTCCTGCTTCCTTTGGTACAGCAATTACTCTTTTTCTGCATGAAGCACATGACAAATGAAATTCAGAGTCATCTTACATTCTCACAGACATATACAGACTGATAAACCTTTCCAAATTTTTCAGGGAATTAAGGTACTATAATAACTCGTAATTTTACAAAGATCCATATTGGCAATAAAGACTGCTAACCCAAAGGCTGGTGGTTGAAATCCATCAGCCACTCCAGAAGTGACTGCCTCAGTCCACATCTATAAAGATTAACAGCTTTGAAAACTCACTATGAGTTGGAATCAACTCGATGGCAACGAGTTATATTGGCAGTACCGGAAGTCAACAGATTACTAAGGACGATAGTGTAAATACTATGGGTTGTTTAATCATTTAGGCTAATCTTTCTGATCAGAAGAGGAGAAATCAGTTGTGTTGGCCACATGCATTTTTAATAAAGAACCTGAAGTAAATAGACACATGAACAAGGGACATGACAACATGAGTCAAATTCACATAAAGCCTTAGTGGTTTTTTTTTTTTCCCCCCATACAAAAATCTGAGTGGCAGACAGTTTCACTGGAGAATTCTATCAAACATTCAGAGACGAACTGATACCAATCCTACTCAAACTATTCCAAAACATACAAAAGGATGGAATCCTCCCTAACTCATTTTATGAAGCAAGCATAACCTTGATACCAAAACCAGGCAAAGACATCACTCTAAAGGAAAACTACAGACCGATATCCCTTATGAATACAGATGCAAAAATATTCAACAAAATCCTAGCCAACAGACTGCAACAGAATATCAAGAAAATCATTCATTATAACCAAATGGGGTTCATATCAGGTATGCAGGGATGGTTCGACATTAGAAAAACAAGCAAAATCATCCACCACATAAATAAAACGAAAAGAACCACATGATCATATCAATTGATGCAGAAAAGGCATTTGATAAAATCCAACACCCATTCCTGATCAAAACTCTCAGCAAAATAGGAATAAAAGGGATATTCTTCAACATAATAAAGGGCATCTATGCAAAACCAACAGCCAACATTATTCTCAATGGAAAAAGACTGATACCATTCCTCTTGAGAACAGGAACCAGACAAGGATGCCCACTATCACCACTTCTATTCAA